CTCTCATCATCAGCTCTTTGAACTTCGACAAGTTCTCCAAGCTATTTCTAGTTACCATCAAGTCATCGGCATATAATAAAATGATTGTTATATCTTGTGCTAAACCCTGAACATAGACAACATACTCGGACTTACATTTTACAAATCCCAATTCGACTAAGTATGAGTTGATCTTCTTGTTCCATGCCTTAGGTTCCTGGTTGAGGCCATATAGTACTTTGTGCATCTTATATACATTACTCGCTTTCGTATGAATCACAAACCTTATAGGTTGTGTGACATAGACCTCTTCGTCTAAAGGACCATTCAGAAATGTTGATTTCACATTAAAATGAATTTTCAACCAACCTTGGTTGCATACCAAGGCTACCACTATTCGAACAATATCCAATCTTACTACTGGAGCAAATACTTCAGAGTAGTCGAGTCCTTTCCTTTGAAGAAAACCTCGAGCTATTGTGTGTTAACTTGCTATCGAACCATCAACATTATGTTTTAACTTGAACACCCACTATACTTCGATAGCTTTTGTACGTGTTGGAAATTCGACTAACTCCTATGTATTGTTTCTTTCTATTGCCTGTAACTCTTCAAACATAACAAACTTCCACTGTTTCATCTTCAAAGCCTCATTATATTTGATTGGTCCAACACTTGCATGTAAAGAAAAATGAACTAATTATCCATCTAGTGTGACTTCATCATCACCAACCACTTCATAATCATGAAGTCTTGCTGGAAGAACTCTACTTTTTTTAGGTCTTTGCCTTGTGCTAGCCACACCCTCTTCGACTTAGACTGTGTCAGGAATGTCAACAACTGCTTCGAATTTGACTTTGACTGGAATATCTACAATTTCTTCGACTTCGACTTCATCAGTTTCTTTGTCGAAACCATAACTCGTAAGTGGCATGTAAATTGCATCATTAGAATCCCAATCCAATGCTGAATTTTATCTATCACAATATCTCGACTTAACATTATATTTTCGTTAATTAGGTTGAATAGCTTGAATGTACCAGATTTATGATATCCTACCAGAATCATAGGTTCACTCTTCTCATTAAGCTTCCTTCTTCTTGCATCAGGAACATGCTTGTAACACATAGATCCAAACACCTTCAGATGACTCACTGATGGTTGTTTGCCACTACACACTTCTTCAGGAACCTTGTTCTTCAATATCTTGGTAGGGCATTGTTGTACCCCAAAATTTTCCCTCCAATTTTTCTTCAAGACGTTCTCCTAAGGTCCTCATATGTTCAAGGTGGCTCAAGAATTGATCAGATAAATTCTCCTCATAAGCAATGGACTCACAACTAGGGTTTTGCATTTCTCAAGGAAGGTTGGGTTTCCAAGGTATCAAATGGTTTTCATGGTTCTTCATATGTCCCTAAGAATGCTCATGTTAAGTGTCAATCCTTGTATCACAAGTTTGCTCAGTCAATGGCTCAGATGACTGAAAATCAACTGTATTGGGTAAAAAGTCAACTATGGTCAACATACAGTCAAACTTCAATATTTTTGGTCAACATCAAGATTTTGAAGTCATATTCATCATTTGATCAAGGGTTGATTAGGATTCATCAAGAAAACTCAAGATTCATCAAAAGTCAAAAGTTGCCAAATTAGGGTTTCCTTAAGAGAAGTCAACTAAACTTTGACCAAGCATAACTTTCACATGCTTCATCAGCTTTTCCCCAACCAAAGCTCATTTCAAACGAAATTCAATTCTCTACAACTTTGTCTCTCTAAGGTCAAGTCCAAAAAGTGCACCATTTGAGAGATATAAGCCAATACATTATAGGTCATTTCAAAAGTCAACAAAAAGACACTTTTTGTCAAGGCATCTTACATCTAGATAAAGTCTTCAAAAGCAAAAATGATCAACATAGATATTGTAAAGGACATCTTGTGCTTTGTAAAAAAGTCCAATATCATCTTCAAATGATGATAATTGAGAGATTTATGACCATTGCAAGTTTGGAAATTTTGAGCAAATGCATGAAGTTCAAAGTGAGCAAGCTTGTTATTTTGGGCTATTGCGCCATGGTTTAAGAGTCCAAACATGCTTTATGCCCCCCATACACCTCATAATTTATTCATACATCCCTTGAACTATTTTTATTTTAATTTTTTAATTATTATTTATTTATTCATTAAGAATGCAAAATAAATAAGATAAAATCATATCTTCTCCTACAAGGTCCAAGCCCACATATCTTTGACCTAATTTTCCCTATATAATCTCATCACTTCTCATACATGAGGACATGAAAAAAACCCTTTCCTCAAACTTGTCAAAATTTCCAAACTTTTTCAAAGAACCCTAAAATTTTCAAACCCTTATTACATTTCCTTTCACGACAAACTTGCGATCCCAATCAACTATATTCACTCCCAGGGTAAGATTGGATCGTTTACAATGATCCAAATGGTTAGAAAATGCTTATGCATGCATCGTGATATCATTCTTGTTTGAGTTTCATTTTTTTTTGTTGCATTTTAACACTTACTAATGCTTTATATGTGTTTATGAGGCTCAACTATGCAGGTCTGGACCATCGTGGGAGCCCCTACACGTTAAATATTAAATCACCACGTTTTCTATGATTTGCACTTTTTGCATTATAGCAGCCAAACCATTGAGTTTTAGTCCAAAATAATTATCCCATTGGATTCGCAGCCCTTGATTTAGGGGGTAGGATGTGTTTGGATCATTAACACTTTGTGTTTTACAGATTGGATGAAAGGAAGCTACTGGAGAAGACAATTGGAGCTAGGGCTTTGGCGCCTCTCCGGTTAATACATTCATTTATATATATTATATATTAATTGATTCAATTATATAAACAGATGTATAGCCACCATAGTGGCAGAAACGCGCGTGTTAAGTCACTTCTCTTTCAGGTCACGGATTCGATCCTCGATTTTGCCAAAATTTTCATATTTTCATTATTTTTGCAGGGTTATCATATAATGTGCTGAACCTGCCATCTTGACACCAACAACAGCTTGGCCTGGCGGTAAGCTATGCGTGGAGAATGCTTGAGGGCGTGGGTTCAACACCCACCCCTACTCTTTTGGTCATTTGATATGTTTCTCACTCTTTTTTTACCCTTTTTCTTTAAAACCTTTTTCAAAAACAATTTTTAACAAAACCCTAATTTAATTTTAGGCTTTTAATTTTATTTTAGGTTTTTTTAATTTAATCAATTGAATTTAATTTTAGGTTTTATTTAATCAACTCTAATTTAATTTTTTAGGTTTTCTTGATTAAATTAAAATCAACCTACATTTTAGGGTTTGCTTAATTTAATTACCTAAATTTTTTTAATCAATTAAAATCAATTAGATTTTTAGGTTAATTATCAAACTTCTTTTTCATCAAATAATCACCAAACAATTTTTCCGTTTCTTTTCCTTTTTACCGCTTTGCGTATTACTTTTTCCCAATTATGTATCTGCTACGGTATGTAATAGTTAATTAGGGTTTACATTTTCCCCCGATTTTATGGTTTTTACCCCCACTCCCAAAGCCATGTAATAGCTTAGGTTTACTTTCCACACCTTTACTTTCTCGCACTTTACTGCTTTATTATTGCTATTACTGTATAGTAACTAAGCATGTATGGCAAGATCTAAAAGCAATAATAGCTAACCCTAATCAAGATAAATAAACTGAAATGAACCATTTGCACACTTGCACCTCTAGGGTAACCTCACTCGTCGCCTCGGAAAATGGTCATGTCCCTCAAACGTAGGTGTTGTACCCCAATTTTTGACCTAAGATCCCATTTTTATTTTTGCATTTTTAAAGATAAGTCAAGGTCAAGAAATACAGTCGGTTTTAATCTCTCACCTTCAAGCATTGACTATGCGAAGGTTGTCAAGTGTTTTGAACATTTTTAGCCTATGTATCACTAATTTCTAATCCATACAAAGGTGTATGTTCATGTTTTCTTTTGCTTCATGTGCAGAGACGGGTCTGAATCAAGAGCATCAGGTGTCGCGCCTCAATTAAAGTTTTGAGTCTCCCAAGCCCGAAGTACGGTTGATTGTGGATTCTCGAAGACTGATTCATCAAGGCACAACCGTTGCACCCTAAATTTCTCCCCTAATATGTTTTAGTCGCACTTTCATATCATATTTTGTTATTTGGTCATAATCATTAGTAAATATCTTCATTCATCACATTTTGCATCATTAGTCGTATTTAAGTTGACCAGAAAAAGTCAGTTTAAATCAAAGTTTGCATCGTCTTTCAGTTGTAAAATACCCGACATTTCACTTCATTCATTTTTATCTGTTTACTATTTTTCTTGCACTGCTCCAAGTTGTTTATATGTCGATAATAAAATATTTTGGTTTTATAGACAAACTGTTAAAAATGATTCAACAATGTGCGAAAATTAGTGAAAAAAAATATTTCAAGTTTTCACCTTTTACTGATCATTTTATGAATCTGCGTTTCGCGTAGCTTATGACGGTATGCTCGCTTTATTTTTTTCGATACAATTTGAAGTCTCGTTTTTAACCGTAAACATCTGTTTTAGCCCGATATTTTTATTATCATTTTATTTTGATTTCGACTTTTTTAATATTTTTTATTTAATCTTTGTGACATGTAGTTTATTTTAATGTGTACATTTTATTTTTTCGGATAAATTTTCGTCCGTTTTTTTTTATTGTTTTCGGTCATTTTAGCTCTTTATTTTTTATTCAAAAAATATATTTTAAATTGAATTAATTTTAATACTTTCAATTTTTATTTCATTTTTATCATTTAAGGGCTATTTGGTCACAAAAATATATTATTTACACTGAGCTTGATTCTTATTGGTTGTTAGCAAAAATAATGGATCAGTAAATTGAGTTTATTTTAAATGGCTTTGATTGCAATCATAAACCCATCTCCACTTTATTTTTCTATTTAAGTAGCATTATTTCTTTGTAAATTAAGAGAAAAAAAACAAAACACACAACAAAAAGCAATAACACTAGCCACATCCAAAACTCCCTCTCGCAACTCCCATTTCTCCGCCTTTGTTTCTATTCCCGAACAACATCTTCTCGTCAACATAACTCATCTCCCTCTCACAACTCCTTCCACGCCATACCCTTTCGTTCCTGCTGATTAACCCTCCATCACCAATTCCACCGAACTTCATCCTCCATCCGTATAAAAACCCATTTCGCGAATTCAATCCCACCACCTGTATACTCCCTTCTCCAACCTTCATCAATTACTGTAACCAACTATTACTTCCGCTTTTCCTCTCCACGCCGTATCACCATCGATTCTGGCCAATCCCCTTTGCAACTCATGCTCCCACTCTGTGTACATCCATCGCACCATCAGTATCATCAATTCCCTTCCTTCCATTTATCCCTTCACCTTCATCAATACTCAGCAACACACCGCATCTCTTCACTCACCGCACCATCGTCTCGGGGTTAAAAGAGGCGCAACTGAGATCAAACAGCATCCTTTCTTTGAAGGCGTGAACTGGGCATTGATTAGGTGCAGCACTCCACCAGAAGTACCAAGACCAGTGGAAAACGAATCGCCGCCGCCACCACCAATGAAGGTTGGACCAGCAATTGATGCTGTTGGGTTTGGCAGTACTAGTAAGAGGATGTCAGGTGACAATGAAATGAAGCCTGGGGGTAAATATCTGGATTTTGAGTTCTTTTAATTTGGATTCTTTAATCTGCATTTTATTGTATTTGCCATAATCAGTTATTTTTGCAGCAGCTGCTCAGTATTACCATGTTAGTTCAGCTTACCTGCTTTGTAGTGAAATTCCATTTCATTTGGAAATATTCAAATATGATATGATATCTCAAGTTTAGATTAGGTTGAATCTCCTTGTCTTATGCTAGAATACTTATGGATAACAAATCCATAATGAAGTGTTTCATCTATACAAAATACTATTAGAATTATTAATCTTGATTCATTTTATAAAAAAAACAAAAACAACTAACAGTAAACCAATTGCTTCATACTCCCTTCACGCCTCTGTTTCACTACTCCACACCATCCAACCTCCATCAATTCCTAGCTGCGACCGTTCTCCAACCGCTTTTACTACTCCCCCTCCAATAATTATTAGTTATACCCTCTCAATTTGTTTATTTTAAATAATAATTAGTTTAGTTAATCTAGTTATTTGTAGATTTAATTAAACAACTATGTTTTAGTTAACTAGATGATCTTAATTATTTAGATTAGTTTTAGACTTAATTTAATAACTTTAGAATTTTAATTTAATTAGATATAAATTAGTAATATTAGAACCTTTAATTAGTTTAGGTATATTTTGATAACTTAAAAATTTTAATTTGTTTAGATCTATTTCATAACTTTAGAACTTCCAATTAGTTTAGATATATTTTGATAACTTTAGAATTTTAATTTAATCTTAGAATTTTAATCTTTAATTTAGAATTAATTTAATTTTGATTTAAGTTAGTAATTTTATTATTAATATAGTTTAGATTAAATTAGTAATTTTATAATGAATTTAGTTTATACTTAAACTAGTTTAGATGTAATTTAGCAACTTTAGAATTAATTTAGTTTAGACCTAATTCAGTAATATTAGAGTGTTAATTTATTTTAGATTTAATTTAATAACTTTCGAATTTCAGTAAGTAACTTTAGAATTTTAATTTAGTTTTAGTTAATAACTTCAAAATTTTATTTAATTTAGTTAGACACTTTAGAATTTAAGTTTAGTTTACTTAGTAACCTTAGAATTTCAAATTAGTCTAGATAATTTTTTAATTACATTTTTATTTTATTCATGATTCTTCTTTGTCCATTCATTTATTTTCTTACAATTTATCTTGTTATCTACCTTGTTCATATCTCGTGGATTTTAACTATTTATGATTTCTTACTCGAATATTAGATCTACCCACTTATGATTAATTCCAAGGGAAATGTTTCAACTCAGCTGACTTCATGTCATCAAATACGTCTTCTACAATCGTGCGAATAGCCTCATTCATTTTTTGCTTGTTTACTATTTTTCCAAACTTAAGATAATTTTCCCAAAAGACTCCATTTTCAAACTCATACCTTTTAAGTCAAAACTTCGACATTAGGTTATCATATCTTCAAAATCTCGCCAACACCTATTTTTAACCAAACGAACCATTTTAATCAAACAAACAATTTTAACCAAAAAAACAGATATTTCAAAAGGTTCCTGCGGAGTACCGCAGATGCATTGGGTGCTAATACCTTCCCATTGTATAACCAACCCCCGAACTCTCGATCTCTTTTAAAAAAATGCATTGTATTTTCATTACTTCTAAATATTACTTTACATTGCATATTTTAGGATTTTATTTCGCTCTTTTCCCTTTTCCCTTGGAAATAATAAAGCGCGGTGGCGACTCTTGCTTTTGCGAGTCAAGTTAATTAATAGCTTGATCTCCGATTTTCACCGCTACAGAATTGGCGACTCTGCTGGGGAAAGATTGACCTCTTGCTGGTCTATCCCTAAGTGGGTTAAGCCTAATTTGTTTTATCTGTTTTATCATTATTTGATTGTTTGATTATATGTATATATTATGATTATTTGGGTGTTGATAATATTTACAAAGGACAAGTCCTATACCCGGACTAAGTTACACTTAGGAATAGGACGGGCGGTATAGTCATGTTAAATTTGAGGGAGTAATCCCGAAGAAGGAGGCATGAGATCCCCCACTCAGTGGAAGGCCCTTTTGAACGTAATATTTGTTTACCGAGTAATCGGGAAGACATTATTATTTTCGACCTGGGAGCCAGAGAAGTTGGGAACCGTAGAACCATAACCCATCTTGGCCTTTTAGGTGTAGCGCGGAGATTATAACGGAGTAATCCGGAAGTAATTGTTACGCGATGCTATGCTCGGATGAGTTTCTCTTGAGAATATTGCTGATTATTGAGTAATCAAGACGTTGGTAATATCCGAAGGAGGAATGTAGACTCCGGGAACTCTTAGAACCTTGTTCTACAGGTGTGATTAAACCGTTAGTACATACCTTGGGGGTGTTCCTTACCTTGACTCCATGCTCGTGACGTTGAACCTTTCAACTTTATTTGTGACCTTGCTTGTGGTTGTTGCATAGCCATGCATTCATGCATCCATAAAACCCTTTTCACTTGACTTTGAAGGAATTTAGAGGTCTTTCTTTGTAAACATCACAAGTTTCGTCAAGCTCAATGGATCTTGGGTGTTGATAGGGCGAAAACCCTAATCCACCAAAATGGATGATTGATCTTGATGATAACTTGATCAATGTTTGGAGCCAATTTAAAATTCATCTTCTATCTTCATACTTTGATGTTTACAACTTAATATCTTGAGTTCCTTGAAAATCAAATAAAAACTCTCTTTTGCATATCATACATCATTCTACATTTTTTGTTTCACTTTCAAAGGTCTTTTTCCGAGTCTTATTTTTCCTTTGGTCTCACCAGTACAACACTCGCGCTAAGAGAACAATGGAGAATATCAAGCAAGAGGTTTCTGAACTCCGTAGAGAGATGACTATTTTGAAAGCTGGTATGGATCACTCAACTGTTTTGGTTGAAATTTTGGTTGTTGCCCAAGTCAATCCTTCTAAGAAGGAGGAAGCGATGATAAAAGTATTCACTGATTGTCATTCAAGGACGTTGGTTTTGAAGTTCAAATCAAGCACGTGTCGAAGAGTAAACACGATTGATGGTCACTTTGAGTTTTGAAGGATGTTTTCGGTGATTCAAGTCCAGATGGAAATCCTTCCCCGATCATTAACTTATTTCTGCTTTTTGTAATTTTTCTTGTTTATCAAAACATTGTTTGCATGTAAGAACTTATTTGCATCTGTATGATTATCTTAATACAATGAGTATGTTTGTCTTGAAGAAATTCATTCGTTTCACTCATATTTGTTTTCAAATTTTAAATTTCTTTTGGCATTATGATACCAACTTGTTGCCCATTCTCTTGCCTAGGAAGAGATTGAAGGGAGGATGATGATCTAAAGAACACAAAATCTCTGGTTGTTTGCTTTTGGATAAAATCTTGCTGATGATGTACAAGCATTGTTTCAAATCCCTAAACACCGGAGATATAAGGAAGATAATCCCTTGCTAACCCCTTTTGAGCCTTGAAGTAGAAGTTTCTTTTCTATACGAAAAAACCCTAAACTTTTAACCTGGGGCAGGGTAGTTTTCAGTTAATCTGATTGAGTGTTCAAAATTCATAAGGAAGATATTTCTGAAGAGAAACTACGAGGGCTATCTTTCATGTATAATGAAGCCAGAAGATGTGGAATCACAATGTTATCCCTCATTCATCAAGAAACGAGGCAATCACAATCTTCTCAACAAGCAAATACAAGCTAATGTCACACTTTTTGTTCAAAAAGTCAAAAATCGAGAAAAAGAAAAAGCCTGCTAAGTCAAAAAACATGAAAACGTGTGACTTAGGCAAAATTAAGGCATCCCGCTGGACTATCAATTCAAAAGAATTAGTTCAGGCAAAAGTTAGGGAAAATAAAAATTGCAAAGAAAAGGACTGCAAAGAAAAGTCCTCAGCAAAGAACAAATTGGTGACTACAAACACGAAGACATGAGGGTGGTTTCTACTCCGAAAGCCTCGTCGTTTCCTCGACCGTCACAAAATCCTTTTGAGAGATGAACACTCATGTTTGAATTAACTGAACATAGGGTTGGAGAACATCATGAAGAATGGGTGGGCACCAAATATTTTGAGCCTTAAAATCTTTTTTCTAAAAAACCATGAACCAGACCACGTTACAACCTTCAAAAGTCCTAATTGAAGCAAGGTTATTTTGAAAGCATACTTCAGTGAGATAGTGTTCCTGACTCCCATGAATGTTCTAAATAGTTATGTTGGTATCATATGTTTTTCCTATACAAAAATAAATGGTGCTTTAACTCGCAAAATTTGTGTGATATCTTTCAAAATCTTCAAGACTTACATAACTGTTGCATTAGAATTTTCATTCTCATTGTAAACTTTTTCTAACTGCAAAACATTTGTTTGATATCAAGGAGGCTCGCATAAGCACCAGTGATGAGTTTATTCTTTTAAGGCCTGAAACTATGTTGAGTAATTGGCGGATCACGTCAAGAAGAAATCATATCCATGGGCATGTCACCTAAAGACCGTAAACACGAACATGTTGCTTCTCCCAGTTAACGCTTTTCCCAACTTGTTTGCTCGTTTGGGGCAAAAATTCGAAGACTTTGTTGTGCCGACTACAGTCAATCCGGGGCAATCACGTAAAGATTTGATGAATCTCTCTAAGAGTTTGAAGACACCAGAGCATGGTGAATGCCAGGTCTTTTGTAAAATCCTCTTGAGACGATTTCTCCTCATCAACCATATAGCTCGGGGCATTTTAGAGGTAAAGTTATTCGCAAGAATTGTCGTGCATCACGCAGCTTATCAGCAGTAAACTTGGGGCATCCAAAATTAATCCCAGGGGCAATCCAGATTTGTCAAGATATGTTTTTCATACATTATCAGAGGGTGGTGTTCCCAGTATCTCCAGCTAAGCAAGACTTCTTTCCAGCTGAAACTTTGTTTGTGTTGTTATCCTTTCAATGGATTGTTTGCAATAGAAGACTGGACTTTGGGTTTTCTACCTGAAAATATCTTCCTCTCCAGAGATATTTAAGCCTTGTAAAAGGACCTTGCTCCAATGATGGCCTGTGTTTTATCTCCAGTAATGTTCCCATCCTGTTGAGATTAGCCGAGTGTTGGGTTGTGCTATGATGTCTTATCATCTCCAGTTTAT